TTCTTGTCTAGGGAAATGTAGTAAGGAAAATGAGGATATTCCCATTGTAATTAAGAGATATTTGATGTTTTAAAAGCAAATAGAGAGTAGGCAGGCTTCGACTATGAATATTCTGATGTACTATCTACATAGAGAGGAATAATTTAAAGGATTCGGTCAGTAGTTATGAGCAAAGCCATACAAAATTCAACCTTGACATTACCAGGGGAAAATAAAGTCACTGGCTGCTCCACAAAGCTGAAGCAGATGTCAGATGCAAGCAGCTGTGGCGGAGAAATTCAACAAAATTCCAATATTCAAATTGCTTCTCTGGATATTAACTGCTTGGTAACAGTTTCAGATTTTATCTGGGCTGCCAGTAAGCCATCTGCACAAAATGAGAGCAGTCTGCTGAAGCTGTCCATGCAGGTAGGTTATCAGTGTCCTTTGACTAGAGAAAGAACAGTGCGGGGGAAATTGGAGCCAATGTTTCAGAAAGTATTATAGTAATTAACCGTAGATGTTAGAGCACCGAACATCAGAATGAAGAAAGGTTAAAGGCTGTCTGTCTTGTTTAAAGACGGTGTGAAGAAGGGAATCTCTTGAATCCTCATTTTAGGTTCATAGTTCTGAGGAGGAGATGCTAGGTAGAAATAGAGACTAGACGATAATGTTAGGGAAATTTCAATCCCAACACCAGGTAAAAGAGGATGGTTATTTTGTGAAATCTGGCTTTCTGACAATAATAGAAATATGCAATGGTCTAACAAAAATTGGGAAGTGAATTTTGACGTATAAAAACTTAGCATCACATAAATAAGAGTAACTTCAAAGGGGGTAGGAAAAAAAAACTTCCCAAATTTTATTTAGCTGTGTATTGGATGAAATATACACATGTGATGTGACATTGCTTCTCACAAGTAAGTCAGCTTATGGAGGAATTATTTCATAATTCAAGATACAACAGCCTTAGCAGTAGCTGAGAATAAGAGCATGTGATCAAAAGTGACCCAAATCATGACACTAGAGTTTCCAGATGGTATAGGAAAAAGTCTATAATTTATGACCACTGGTGCAGTAAATAAATCTACAACAATAGTCGTGGATGGGGAAGCAATCACAGCTGACCAAAAGAGCAGTTGTAATGCAACCCACAGAAAGCTTGGTGCCAGAAGTAATTGACATAGTCGTCAAATCAATTTCCTGGGGTGCAGACACTCAAGCACTCAATCTGATTCTGTATGCTGCACAATGTTTGGATTGTACAGCTGTCTCTAATTCAGATAGCTTTAGCGAGATGTGAATCCAATTCAAGGAGCTGTCTGGCAGTGAACACTAATTATTTGGGTTTTCTTTATGTAGGTTTATTGTTTTCTGATCAAATTACTCTTTTTGATATTGAATACATCTTATATTAATTTTTAAATGTTTAGCTATATTTTCTTTTCTTGTATTGCCTAACCATGAAGCACATAATCTTTTCTTCTAAAGTGACAGAGGGAGGCCATTTCAAATGAAACAGGACATGCACTGTATGGTGGACTCTACACTGATTGTGTAGATCAGCTCGAATGCAAATGTGTCATACTCATACAAAAAGGACTTAATTAATCTTTATTTATATTTCATTGCAATGTATTTATTTTAAACTAATATTGCACTTCCATTTTCTGCAAAACTTCATTTGTTTTCTTTTTCATTCATTGAATCGGTTTTAAGCAGATTGTCTACAGCCTCCCAGATACTTGATAGGACCCTGGCATATGAGTATGTCAACAAAATGGCACTAGCAGCCTGGACTGGAGAGAAATGTCAGGAATTAAGTGGAGAATTCCTGAGACAATACGCAAATCATGACCAAGGATAGAAGAAGAAAAAAAAAAAACCTGATAGAGCCATCAGTGGAATACAATTAGTAGAACTGTTGGGAGAGCATGTTGAAAGTGCCGATATTGCCATTAAGATTTTTTGAGGATAAAGAAAACTGTGGTGGTTTAGAGAGGACTGATAATATTCCAGGAACTCTGAGTGTCAGGACTGTAGCATTTTCAGGCAATAGTACAGTCTTTACTGCATATGGAACATAGGGGTTGACCGTCATGAGTACAGAAGTGTTGAGCGATGAGGGCCAACCACAGAGTTGAACAAAATACACTTAGTTTCTGTCCTTTGGGAGTTTTGAAATAAAATGCTTTAAAAATAAAAATTATAAAAACAGTCAAATATATTGTATTAAGGAAATATCTGAGGTGCCCCTCTCTAACTAAGAACAAAAGCAAGAGCCTGGTAGATTAATTAAAGTGGAAAACTTATATAATGTGGAGCCTCTATGAGCTTATGTGAGCAGTGTTAAGAAGACTATACCCCAAAATACATTGTTGCCTCTGTTTGTACACTAAATTGTACTAGCTTTTTTTTTTATTGAAAGCAATTTTTGAAGAAATTATCTGTCTTTGCCCTATAGCATTTCTTACAATACCGAGTGGCTATTCTTTGGAGTCATCGTCTCTTTCCTAGTTTAACAGAATTGCTCAACTGAAGAATACATTTAAAAATTAATGCATTACATTTTGCTAATGTGAATTCATATTACCTATTTCTTGCTAAGGAATATCTTAAATTCTTAAACCCTAAGAGCAATGTAACAACTTTGATATAAATAAGAATAATCTAATAATTAACCCTAGCATCTTTCAGCAGTAGATGTGAAAACAAAATGAATTGGTGTTAATGATGAAGGAAATCTAAAGCTCCAAGGCCTCGAGGCATCAAGTTGTTTCATTTCGCTTTAGTTGAGAAATGTTGTATATAGAAGAAAGTAAGTAGTTTTTCGTGAGTTGTGATCTTGACAGTACTGAAAAAGAAAATTCTTGTGACATGTTTTGTGTTCAATTTGCATGAGTTTTTTTTTTGTTTTCCTTCCTTCCTTTCTTCCTTTCTTTCTCTCCCTCTCTTCCCCCTCTCTCTCCTTCTTTCTTTCTTTGAGTTTAAGTTCTCACTATCTAGTCTATTATGACCTCAAACATGTGGAATTTCTCTTGTATCAGCACATCCATCCGAAATACTGAGATTACAGACCTGGGCCACAGTGACCTCTAACATTCAATGTACTTTTCTGGGTTCGAGAATATTGTACATTTTGCAACTAAGCATCCTTTCTTATTGTTTGCTTTGTTTTATTTATTTCGTATTTGTTTTTCAAGACAGTGTCTTCCTGTGTACATCAGCCTGGCCATGAAATTGCTTATCCTTCTCTCAAATGCTGTGTCATAGGCATGCCAAGCCTCACTCAGCTTAAGTAAATATTGTATGTTCATACTGATACCAAATCTAATGTTTACCTATCTCATAATCCTCCTATAATTTAATGAAATATACTTCAAAGTAACATGTGAGAAATTTGTCGATTCATTACTTTCTGTGTTTAGGACTGGGTCATTCTATAACTCTATTTCATTAAAGGTAGAATTGATTTAGTTATGGTGTTTTTCAAGGGTGCAATTCAAGAGACAACATAACACTCATTTCCCCTATGCAGCAAATGGTCAGTAAGTGATTTAAAAGTACACATTTCTCCCGTGATAATGGAACTCCTATATTAGGCAAAAGGAAACGTATTTGAGGAGAAATAGCCCGTGTTATATATGCAAATATACTGGTATAATCCACCATTATACACTGATTCTTTTTATATTTTATTATGTTCACTTAAGTATTAATAGCATTTGTCCCAACATCCATTCTGCTATATTATTTTATCAGGAAAGTTGCTGACATCTCGTACAAAGCTGACACCAGCTTTTGCATGTGTACTCTATTTTTGCCTCCATGATACCTACTATAAAGATTCCAGCTAGGTTGGAGCTGTTTTACCCCTTGATGAGTAGAATGGGAGCGTACCTTGCATTCTGAATAGTCTCCACAGGGCATCCACCAGGGATCATAAAGTGAAGACATAAAGAAAACTTGTAGGTGGGATTTCCTTTGTTCAACTGGTCTTACATTCCAGGAAATTGAGTCAAATTCCCCTCAGTTTTTTTTGGAGATAGTTGTGTTTTGTTGCTGTTTTGTTTTTTCCATTTTGGTCTTCTTTCTTGTGTTCAACAACAAACTGTGTGGATTAGATATACTCATGTGAGACTAGAAACAATACCTTTGCTGGAAAATAACTACACAATTGACATCTGACTTGGGAAGTTGAGTATTAAACTACACTTGAGGAGTTTGTTTTCTAAAAGAGGATGACATAATGTCACCTTAACCCAATTCACATTAAGAAGACTGACATTAATTACTCTCTAAGATTGAAAGTAAAAGTATGGAAGGCACTGGTTTAGAAATACTCTCTCCTTGGATTTAAGACTCCAGTAGAGATATTGGTGGTGGGGAGTTTCAAGCATGCTTTTTGGTGATCACAATATTAAAATGAGTCAATGTGTGAAATCTCTGCAGAAAATATGTGAGAAAAAAGAATATAATTTTAGACTGCCATGTATACCTGAGGCCATGAAAATAAACAATAGCTATGAATCTGCATAAAGCCACGTTATTACTAATCATAACATCTATAGGGTAATTGTATATGCTTAGGTGACTAACTTTTGCAGGCTACCACTTTCAGTGACTCGGCTGAATTGTCTGCTGACAAATACTGTGTACTCTGGAGATTAGTAATAAAGGAAGACAGAAAAGGGAAAGAAATACATAGCACACATGTGCTCAGAATGATGACCTACAAATCCATATTATAAGTTACTTCTTCTGGTAGCTTGGGCATTTTCACATAGCTTCAATGTGTGGTATCATATAGGGCAAAAGGATAATCAGGGATAAATCAACTTTAGAAAAATTGGTAATGATGTTTACATCCTTATTCATTACTACTTCTTTTCATTTCCAATCAGAAAACTTCAAGCAGCATTTTTTTAGTAATCCTATAGGACCTTTTCCAGATCTCCAAAATCAGCAATGTCTCAACTAAAATAAATAAATAATAAATAATCATGTCACTATTATTACAGGAATCTCCAACATTGATCAGAGACCAAGAATCATAATTTTCTGGCTCAGAATTCACTGAATAGATAAACCGGATGAATGAGCTGGAGGCTACAGCTGGCTGTCAGGTAAAATATTATTCTTTGCTCAGCACATTCTTTTCATTCTTATGAGTGATTCTGCTTCTTGTTGGCCACAGATGCCTGTATATCTCAAAGGAGAATTGTTAAGGTAATATGTGACAGGCACAAGCTAGTGTAGAAACGAGACAAAAGTAAATATTTCCTTTCCTGTTTCAAAGTCGGGGTGCAATGAATGTTCAGAGGTAGTTATGAGCTAGACAGAAGATAGAAAAAGAAAAGAAAAGAAAGAACAGACAATGGGCATCCATGTTTTAAGAATGTATCAAGAATTACACAGGCTAGAATATAAAGAGTTGAGAGCCTGTCCTTCGATGAACAGCATGGAAAATCACTAAGATAATTCTGTGGGCAGCCCAAGGCACAACTCAAAGTAAGCCCACAGGAGTTGAATGTATGCTCCACCATCTGCATTCACTTTTCGGGAACGTATGGTGAGAAGCGCTTTTGTAGAATGTCTGGCCCACAATAACTAGCTAGCATCTCATGCTTGGATCTATATATGCATGAGGGATTCAGAAGGCTTTATTTTGTCTTTTAAAATTCTTGCCTATGGATGAAAACCTGCTTCTGATGTGAATAGTGTAATTATACAAAAGAATAGATTCTATTGGACTTAACATCACAAGGTCTGTGTTCTTACTTGCAGGTGTCTAGGAAAGTGATAAAGTCTAAATTCTAAATGTTCCAGCAAGACTTTCCATAGCTACTTACCATACAGGAAAAGCTAATAAGTGATAGCAGACTTGCCTAGAGAGCTTTCTATCCTTGCTCCCATTAAGAGCTGTGGTTTCTTTGGGGAAGGGGTACAAAAGGACTGTAAAATAACAATACTGTCTAATGGGCAGTCACGACTTTGGGCTTGAGAAGTCACTTCTTCCCCCATCAGTAGCTCAGACAGAAACTGACTCAATGGATTGATGAACTGAGTGGAATGTCCTCTGTACTTCTGAAGTGTAGGTGATTCCTTTGGAACCCTGATAATGGGATGGCTCCAACTTGGATTCATGTATTCATGACTTTGTGACCATTAGACCAAGATCCCTCAACCGTCTATCAGCTTCTCGGTAAATTTTCTTCCCCAAGTCCTATAGTACACATATACATTGTGGTGTGGTGTGGTGTGTGTGTGGTGTGTGTGTGTGTGTGTGTGTGTGTGTGTGTGTGTGTCTAATGACCTTTGAACCAGCAACTACAAACAATAAAACTTGTAACAATAACGGTGATCATTGACTTCCTGCCCTTAGAAATCTAATTGCTACTGAGTGTTTGCTGCCTTGTTCTGATCTTCTGTGAAAAATATGAACCTAGGACAACTGATCTATTTATTTCACTTTTCGTGAACATTTGGTGTTTGCTATATATTAATGAAAATGACTGAAGGGACTTTCTATGGCAGGCATTTTCTAGTTGCCTTAGAGTACTAATTCCTCTCTCTTCATAACAATCTTACGGAGTGGTATTAGGACTAACCTTTTGGAGTAGAATTAGTACCATTGTTAGCATGAGGCAAAGAAGTCACAGAAACCAAAAGATTGCTCAAGGTATGGCAGGCAGGACTTCCCACAGGGCAGGGAACCCTCACTGCTCTTTGGGCTGATGAGGGAGGGGGACTTGAATGGGGGAGGGGGAGGGAAATGGGAGGTGGTGGCAAGGAGGAGGCAGAAATCTTTAATAAATTAAATTAATAAAAAAAAAATCTCAGCACTTGGGAGACAGAGGCAGGTGAGTTCGAGACCAGCCTGGTCTACAAGAGCTAGTTCCAGGACAGGCTTCAAAGCTACAGAGAAACCCTGTCTCAACAAACAAAAACAAATAATAAAAAAGAAAAAAATCTTAATTCATTCAGAAAAATTGACTAGTAAAACTAATCAAAACAGATCTAGACATGGTAGCATACATCTTTAATCCCAGTATTTTGAAGTTTGAGGCAGGTGGATCCTTGTGTGTTCTGTACCATCCTGGTCTAGATAGGGAGTTCTGAGATATCCAGAAATACGTTATAGGCAGAGAGTGTCTAAAACAAGACAAAACACTTTAAAGACACAGGAGTGGCATGGCTTGATCAGGAAATAGGAAATGGTAATAATAAAAATACATATGTACTAGCATATGTACTAAATAAATCAGAGAAGCAGAAAATATTTTCTTGAAAAATATGATGCAGTTAATATTTTAAAATGGGGCAGTATTATTATTTTTAAAGCATTAGATTAACAACAGACAGCTGTTTGTGTAAGAAAACAAAGAACAACTGTTAAAAGTTGGATATTAACTCTTAAATTCAGAAGTAAATTCTAGCTGGATCAAGGATGTAAACATAAAAATAAAAATGTGTCCATAAATTGTTAAAAAAACAATAGAATTTTTGAGTCTAAGAAATCTAAGACTTCTAATCGTACTGTCTCTGAAGTTGCCTAATCAAAATATTTATTCATTTAAATACATCCAAATAATTCCTTCATTGCTCACAATAAATGCCAATATGAAAAAGAACAACAGAAATTCAGGTAATATTGATGGAATAGTGCTTTCATATAGAAATGTTTTTACAAAACCATCTATAATATGAAGGAAAAAGTACAAAGATATGGAAATTAATAAAAAGAAAAATTGCTTAACTAATTAAAAGTACTGATTAAAACTGTGATAATGTTTTCAACAACTGAACTGGCAAAGGTTCAAGAACACACGGGCAGTGCACAAAGATGCGTTAAACTGGCAGAGTACCGGAGAAGGGCTTGCTCCTGGCGCCTGTTACCATAAAATACCACAGCCCACTACAAGGATTACTAGACATAAAAACTGAAAACAGAGTTATTCTATTTCTTGAAAGTTATCTCACTGAAATATCCACAGATGTGTAACCTGTATGTGAGATACTGGGTCTAACAAATCATTTGCAACAATTTCACTGCATAATTTAATTGAGTTTTTTAAATAAACATTTTACACTCATATCTGAGAAATATATCTAGCTAGTTTAAAAAGAAGCAGTGTTTCATAAACTGGTGAGGAATTGAAAAAAGAGCAAAAATACAAGAGGAAAAAAAGATCTAAGAAAGTAAATAATATACTTGTTAGCTAAAATTTGTGTTCTGAGAGGAAAACCATGCACTCTGTGTCGATTCACATGAAATATTCCTGTAAATCTTATCATTGATACGAGTGTAATGATGAGAGAAAACTGAAGGCAGAAAAAACAGAAGTAAAACTCCTTCTTCTCACCAAAAGTTCTGTACATTTCAGTATTATAGTATAGAATGCTTTCATTAAATAAATAAAAAGGTAAGCTGCAGAGTAATGCAGCAGATTGGGAGAGATGGGAAAGTGAAGGATATCAGAATCACTGCACAAAGGCCCAGGACTGGGAGCCACTCTAGGTTCAAGTCTCTTACCAACCCTAAGGTGGTTCCCTTAATTAAGTTATGTGATACCCTGCTCCTCTATCCAAAGAAAAAGTCTGTTATAGGGTGGCTTGCTGGTCAAAGAGTCAGCCCATTATCATTATAATATGTCATGGTGGAATGTAGCAGGACGTGGTACTGGAGAAGGAACTGAGAGTGATGCATCTTGATATGCAGGTATTCTTTGGGACCATGAATCAGCCTCCAAATCATGAGAGAGAGACTTATAATTAGTTTTTTGAGTGCCCAGCCTACCTTTCTGGTAAGCCCCCCTCCCTTTTTTAAACTTAAATTAACCTGTTTCTTTTCATCTACCATTTTCTTGGGGGCCTTTTATTTTTCCTTCCCTTTGTATATCTGAATTTCACTGCTTCTCATGTCTGTCCAGCTGGTGGCTCCCTGTCTCTGGCCTCAGGCATCTCACTCATTCTCTCCCTTTTCTGTCTTCCTCTTCTGAGCCTAGAATTCTCCTTCTATTTATTCTATCTGGAAGCCCTACCTATCCCTCTCCTGCCTACCTATTGGCTATTTGACTTTTTATTAGACCAATCAGGTGCCTTAGGAAGGGAAGGTCAAATAGATACATCTATACATAATTAAACACATATCCTTATACCCTTAAATAAATGTTGCACAAACTAATATAATACATAATTACACAGTTAAGATATTACACAGCATAAACAAATGTAACACATATTTGCAATTTAGTTATATCCCACACAATTTACTGACAAGTCATGACTCATCTGACAATATGCATAAGCTTTGAGGTGATACAAGGATATCAATGCTTTGGTTTAATCCCAAGTCTAACATACAGAAAAATGACCTCTTTGAGGTCACTGCCAAGCTGCTGCCATCATCTGTCCCTGATATTTGTTGATTCATTCTTTTTGTGGAAGCAATAGTAAATATCAGTATTTCTTATAAATTTAATGTAGACATGTGAGAATATTTAAACTAGACATTTACAAATTGTCTTTTATTTATGATGGACTAAACATATTTTAGCATTTTACTTTCTCCATACTTCATATACCTTCCTTTAACACTTATTCATTTTGTCTATGACAAATTAAGTAATTCTTTAACTTTTTTTATTTGCCCATCCAGCAAATAAACCTTTTATTCTTACATTGTTCTTGAGCTTTTAAGCATTTTAAACAATCATGAAGTCAAGGCTTAGGTGTGAAGTATCCTCCAATGTTCCCTGCTTGATTCTCAGAGTGTACAGCTAATTCAGGAAGCTCAGAAAACTGTAAAGGTTGGGGTTTCCTTGAGAAAGTAGGTCGTTCATCCTGGCCCCATTCTCTTCTCTGCTTTGAGAATACTGCCATGTGTTGTGAGCTGCCCTACTCTACCTGTTCCTCCAGCAATGACAGTACTTTTATGAAGCTATGAGCATAATAAATCTTTTTTCCCTTAAACTCTTTATTGAATTATTTTGTTACAGCAATGAAGAGTTTAATTTTTAGTTTTTAGTCTTTTTTAATGAAGAATGGATATTAAACCACATAATTATTTTCCCATTATTCTTTCCTAAACATTTAAATACATTGCGGTCACTTGT